CCGTGGTATTTTGGGTTCCCCACACACACACACACACACACACACGCGCCCACCACACACATCACACACACCACGCACACACACACACACACACCAACACACGTACGTGCCCCCGTGAGGTACCTCGAGGCTTTGCGGGATCCTTAGGTGGATGGTACGAATCCTGGCGTGAGTGGCCGACACCATGGTTGCCGCTTGGCTATCGAGCTTTCTTCTGGATTTCCGAGATGACCTGATTGCATCTCGCAGCGCGCCTTGTCAGGTTTGTCAAGGAGCTGTCTGCCAGCCACACCATTCCGAAAATGGATCATTTGCACTTTGGCGACATATGGGTAGCCGGGTAGCCACTCACTGTGTCTAATTGCTGGAGGCTCAATCGGATCCGCTCGGTCGTGCTGAGGATCTGCTTCCTCCCAGGAGCTATTGCGCTTGAGGTGCTGCACGAGCAGAAGCGAAACGAGCGCAAGAGTAAGGCACGGAGCCACCGCTGACTGGAATCTAGGGAAAGTTGAGGGGTAAAGAAGCCCCGGTCAGGTTGACCTGCGTCTGGCCCACAAGCTTGTCGAGACTTGCGTCCACACGCACTTCGGCGGCCGCAACGTGTGCTCTGAAAGGAAGACGAGATGCATAGTTTCATCGAGGTACTGGCGCACAGCTTCCGACCTTGCACCGGAGATCACCCGGTTCAATGCCTTCGGCTTGGTGGACGACCTGGGATCGATGCACAACATCCTGCGGCCAGAGACGCCGCTTAGACTTCTTATTGAGAGATGATTCATTAGCAGGCCGACCTTGGCAGAGCCAAGCTGCCAGGATAGAAAGCCTCTTCGTCCTGTGGCGGACTCGTGCTCAGAGTAGAGTTACCAGCGCACACTGTCAAGCACCACCTGTTCGGCAGGACCACGAAGAAGCAAATCTACAGAAATTGGGGACAGCGAATGTTGTGTGCCTTCTACCGATCAAAAACACCGTGCCCTGCATAGTTTGAGCTGTGCCGCAGCAGGAGCTTGGCTCGCACCGAACCGTTCATTTGCCAGTCCAGGTTTGGCTTTGCCAGCTTGCACAACGTCAACCATCCGACGAAGAAGCGCGATGACATGCCATCGTTCTTCGTAGCTGTGGCTTCGCGACAGTTAGGCTGAGTTCAAGTCTCATATCTGTTTTGTGCTTCTGCGAGGGCACATAAGCCAGATGGAGCCACCAGCGCAAGCCGATTGCAGGACAGGGATAAATATTCTGCCACCTGCTGAGGAGACGCTAAAATACCTGTTCCTGAGACTTGGCTGCTTTTGTGCGTCCGCAGTGCTTCAAGTAATTAAGTAGGGGCTTCCACACCTTCACGCTGTTACGTACAGCGAACAGGCTTTTTTCCGATGATGCTATCCTACCTTTGGACCAGTTTGTCTTGGGAACGGAAGCTCATCCCGTGCCACTACTCCAAACACTGCGAGACTTGGATGAATGAAAGAATCAGCTGGCCTTTTACATGTGTCCTGGCACGGCGAAGGAGCTTCTTGGCCGTGTGAACTACTCACACTTCCAAAGCAGCTTAGCTTCGCATCATGCTCGCGAAGAAATTCCAGACCAATGTGATGTCGATGTTTTGCCGTTCCTTCTTCCAATCCGAATCCAGAAGTTTTGTGTATGATTTGGAAGTTGAGCATCAGGCTCCGAAGGCTTCACCAGCACCATAGGAACCTGCGAAGCCAGTAACTAAAGTTTGAGTGGGGGAAGGAAAGCAGACCCATGTTCACCTGGCCAAGGGCCTTCGCAGAGGCACCGCGTTCAGACTTCCAGCTGCAGTTCTCTGGGGCTCCATTGCCGCGGCTAACGCTGCAGAGTGTTGCACCGTGCAAGGTGAAAGAAGTCCCGGAAGAAAGCGAATCTGAAGCGACAGAGCCATCAGAGCCTGTGCTGGAGCCAGTTTCTCTTTCGCAATTTGGAGTCGACCTCATTCTCTGATGGCGCGGACGAGGCAGGTGGACATGTGCTGTCGTCGACAGGTTCCACAGAGCGACACCACGACCGCCACGCCGTCCAGTAAGGCCGTGGACGGGAGAGGTTCTGATTGGCAGACCTTTGGCGTGGGTTAGTCGATGCCATTGGTGGTGGAGCAGCCAATTAATTCCTACGTATATTTTTGGAGGTAGTGCCAAAGGGTGGGAGAGTTGAGCGATTTTCAACTGTGAGCCAGTTCAGAGACGTACCACAGTCCAGCTCTTTCCAGCTCTTCAAAACCCAGCAAAGCAGGCCGTGATTGTTGCCAGCCCAAGCTGTGCATCAATCTAGCGGCAACCTTGGATTATGTTTTCACTCAGGTTGATGTTGCAGCGTCGGGCTTGGGAGAGTCGGAATCTGATTTGTTGAGTCGATTCGATGTGGGGCCATTGCACAGGCCTGTGACCGGGATCGCCTTCAACAGCTTGCACTCCAGATCCAGGCCTCACTGCATGGCTTGCGGTCGATATGTCGCTGGCCTCATAATCCTTCCCAAGCTGGCCTCCGGCCAAAGGCCTCAAGATGTGCTGCCGTAGAAGTTCGCATGGCGTTATCTGCTGAAGATCGATGCTGAGCCCCCAGCTAGGTGAAGTAGTATACTGTACCATGCTTACCACGCTATACTAGACTTTAACTTGACAATCGTTCTAAGTGGGTACAGACACACAGACATGCATGCGAGCCAAAGGCCTGCTCAGCTTGCAAACAATCCAGCTGATGCTGATGATGCTCGCGCTGCGGTTCGCTAAATCCGTCCAATCACTGGTTCGAGCGGCGTGGGTTCAAGGGCCGGGGAAGCGGACAGAGAGCTTGAAAGCAAATCCAGCTGATGCTGATGATGCTCGCACTGCGGTGCGCTAAAATCCATTCACTCTTTTGTTCGAGCTGCTACAAGGCACGTCAACAAGCTTTCAGTGAAGATACACGTCCTACTTGTTGAAGCGCTCAGTGATCCTCGCGCCGGCAGGGTTGGCAAGAGATGCCCTTTCTAAGCCATCTGCTACTGCGGGGCCGGTGGAAATGTTTGCTACAGATGGTCATGCGCAAATGTACACGTCACCATTGTTGAGCGCAGAGAAGACGGATGGAATCACAAAGCCACGCAGTGGACAGAACAACGAAGAGACACTGCAGAAAGGACACGGCGAGAAGAGTAACCGAAGGACAACAGCAAAACAACGCACGGCTGGCAACCGACAACCGTGTGACACAGGCACTGCCATTTCTTTTGGAGAACTGGCTACGACAGCTTGTGAAACCGTGCCAGATGTGACCGGTCTTACAGTGCATGGCAAGATTTGGAAACGTGTTACCATGATAAGAGAGCTGCTTGATGCAGGAGCTGCAGCAAGAGCTGCGGGCAGAGCATGCCTCATGCTCTGATACGGGCGACCCGACTTGCTGGGTTAGTGGCTACAGCTTTCAGGCTCGTTCCATGGCCCGTCGATCGGTCAGAAGGTGAACCCGAGCGTGCCAGGAGTGCTGCATTCCGCCGCCTGGAAACCCTCTGTGCTGGGATGCTGAATTTACCTACGCGCGATGCTGCAGGTAAGCAGGTGCTCGTTATTTCCGCACGGATGCCATCATGTATCACGGCTAGTGCCCTGACCTGCCGAGTGCGGGCGTCGGAGAGGGTTGGAAAAAATGCCATCATGTATATAGTTCACTCTAATGCAACTAATGCGAAAGCGTCGTAGCTGCACGCGGCCTGGCCTGGTCAGGTAAGCCCCACTGGCTGAGAAAGCGGAGGACTGTTGAATTGCTGCACCGTGCTTGGAAAGCACGGAGGGCTTGCGTAGCCGCATACATGGTTGAGAAGGCCATGTTTTTTCCAGCAAGCCAGCAACACGGAAAAAGTTACGAATTTCACAGGGCGATTGTGTTGTGCTACTTCTACTTGTTGCTTTTCCTGTGCTGCCAGCTGCCAGACCATATCTTGCATGGCTGAATGCTGAGTGTTAGTCATGCGTGTTGTTGTATTGTGTTATGTAGAGATGTGTAGAGTCAGATTGTCTGACGTAGCTATATTTACGCCGCGTAGTGTCAACCTGACATGCCCCGTTCAAGTCTATACATAAACCACACATTTCGAGGCCTCCCTGACCTGCTAATGGCTTTGGGAGCACAGCACACGGCCCTATCTGCTTGGCTGTACTGCCGCCGCGGTACCGCTCCGCGCCGCGATTGCTGTTTGCATGGAGGTCCTCAGAAGGGACAGTGGCTACAACGGCAGCCGGCGTGGTTGTTGAAGCCATCACTTCGACCGTTAGCAGCTGTTTCAGTGGCGACCTGTGCCGGAGCTGTCGTTGCCAGCAGAAGCTTGAAGACGGTGAAGGTGAAGGCATATAATTTGAAAACTGATCGGCTTCCAGACGGCTTGGGCGAAACGCTTGACACCATCGGGACTGTTCTCACGAACAAAAACCCTCAGAGCCCGGGCTGCGATCGAAGTCACTGAGCAGTTCTTCCCGCTTGTCCACTCGCCCTCTGTCTCTCTCGTGCCCATAGTCACGGTCCCAGGAGGCACGACCGAATTCGTGACCACGAGCTGGGCCCCCTCTTGCCGAAGCGATGGTGGACACATTTAGGAGTCCAACTGTGCCCCGCCCGCACGAGGAGACTTTCGTAGCCATGGGCCAAAGCCATAGCTCCATCTTGCGCACCAAAGGAAGGCCCGAGAAGAGACCTTTGGACCACTCCCGGCAGATGCTTGGATTTCGCTTCGCCTCGATGGCTGCTGCCGCTCGGCTCTGCTGGGCTGTGCTTTTCGCCAAAGGGAGTCTCAGACTCCGTTTTTGTATCGAATCACTCGCAAAAAAGCGCCATAAAGGCGGTTGGGCTTTGGGCATATACTAGGCTCCTGATGCGAGCAACAACACTGATGACCTTGCTTCGTTTTGGCCTTCGGATAGTGAATGTTTCCTCGACTTTGGTGATCAGAGCCCAGTCAAGAACACTGAGGAAGTAGGCAGGAAGAGAAACAGTAACAAACCTTAACGAAGCGTTTGTGTGCGGCAGTCTCCAACAAAGTGATGAAGAGAAACGATGCCGCATAGAACCCGTAGCCATTCTCCTGGCAAGAACTGATCGCACAAATCCTGAGTCTATGGCGAAGTACCCGCATCTTACAAGCAGGCGCAGTCGGCGCAAAGCACCAGCTCATAGTCGCAGCAGCAATGGCAGTAGCCGTCTATGGTCATGCAGTACCGCAATGGTTACACATCCGTTCTCAGTCTTCAACGCCGAACTACACAAATCACTGCCACCCATTCCTGCCTGGAAGCTCCCACGACCCAGGCTGGGGCACAGTAATGTCTCGTCTCAAGAGCTCTGGCATTCTGGAGCAGGGCTTTCGGAACGAGATTGCTGAAGCCATGATCACATCCTGCCGGGCTGAAGCTTGACTCGGAATAGCGATGGCTGATGATTCTTCTCATAGCCCCGATCATTTCAGAAAGGCATGTAGGACCTAGGTTTGTATATGCCTCGCACTACTCTTTGTGACTTGTTCTCGTCAATTGCAGCATGGCCTCAGGTCATGTGCGAGTTTGATGGCATTCTGGGCTACACGCACAGCAACCTGGCCGGGGAATTCTCAGCTTTGCGCATTGCTCCCGAATTACGAGAAGTGGTCGCACAGCAACGACAGCCAAAAAGGCTGCACGGGCAGTGCTGCACATGTGAAGCGATGAAGAATTACCCGGGACATAGACCAGATTAACGGCTGGGATCTCGAGTCCAGAGAGAGACGAAGTGGCAAGGTAAAGTGTTGGGCCAGTGCTTTGCGAGCTACTAGTCCGGTTCCATAAAGGATGCACCGCATTTTACATTCCTCCCCCCAGTCCTGGTCCATGGTGCTCCTCAAGCTGCCAGCGGGAAGTCAAAAGGATCGGACGCGACCACAAGGAGGAACATTTTTGCTCGGTCTGCCTCCGTGTAGTTACAGGCTGTCAGTGCTTTATTTTTTGGAAGCGCCTTCTGCACGGTGAAACCCATCATGCCCCTTGGCGGGGGGGAGTTGCATTCCTCTTGGTGGACACTCGGTAACAGGAAACTCTTTGACTCGAATTCGCTTCTTTTCAGATCAGGCACCCGTCGAGGGGGCCAAGCAGAAGTATTGAGCAAAACCTGTCGAGGTCTGGGCTTGCGGTCCTTGCTTTTGTCCGGGTTCCGATTTGGTCTTTGAGAAAGTCCATCGCGAGATTCTCTGAGCTGTCGGCATAAATCTTAAAAGACTCCGTGCGGAACCCTATACGTCGTTACAGCACCAAAGACCCCCAATTCCCCACGTAACCCCGAAGTCTTCACAAAGGCCCCATGAAACAGCTGAAGCCCTAATTCCCTTAAGGGCGTTTAGACTTCGTCTGCAGGGACCGAAAGCATAGCCGACAACATGTTGTGGGGTTGTAGGGCTTGTGGGTTTAGGGTTAGGGTTTTCACTGCCTGCATGCGCTCAGGTGACGAGATGACAATTATCGTACCACCGGGAAGCCGAGTGTGCGACGGCTCCGTGTCCTGGTGGGTGAGCACTGCCGCAAGCAACCTGGCAGGACATCCCGAAACAAGGCAGTCGAAAGACCCCTCAAAGGGGCCTTTCTTTCTCCACCCTACTTATGGACTTATAGCTCTCTTAGAAGAGACCTTGTTGAGAGGGACTATGTCCCCATGGGTCCCACCAATGCAAACTCCCAAGCAGTGGCTTTCAAGCACAATGGCCATCACTATCGTAGCAACTCTGGGCAGAATCACGGCAGGACAGGGTCACAGCCAATACTAGACTTACTATAGACTAGACAATCCGCATATTTAGACAATATGATGAGACTAGTGATAGCTTCGTGCGGCTTCACTGCTGCCAAACCCCCGGTGAGCTTCGACGAGGCGTAGCCAGCGCTGCATGCAACCGCTCTCTGGCGAAGCTGGCAGCTGCACGAGGTCGGGCCGTTGCAGCTCTTGGGGCCGAGACGGCTGAGAGAGAACGAGCGGTTTTGAGGCCTGGAACTTCCGGAGATCGTCATGGCACACTTTGACTGTCGCGTGGGTGTCTTCGACTCCGCACGGCAAGCCGAAGGATTGGTGCTTTGGCGAGCTGCGGAGCTTCGGCTCGAGCAAAAGACCTTCATTGTCTTTCGAGCACGAGTCAATGCGACAAAGCCCAGGATTGCAATGTCAACTCTGCGTCGGATGCCATAAAGTTCTCAGACGCACCTTTTGCGGTTCGCGAGTACAACACCATCCAGAAGCTGTTGGCAACTCAGGGTCAGCTACGAGTGATCCCGCGGCAGCGTTTAACTGCATGCCTGCAGGTGTTACCTTCAAGAGCGCGCTGGGCTGCCCATGCAGAGACATCAGGCCTATGGCTCTCTCATTGGACGGCGTGAGCCCCAACTCTGTCGCTGCGAGCTTCGGTGCTTCCTGTTCTGTCGGACATTCTGAGGATCGCCCTGGAAGGCCAAGGTAGCGCACAGCGCAGAGTCAATCATATGCATGTTCTGTGCATGGTGTCAGATGTGCTGGTGCTCCTCAACAGTGGGTGTCACTCCTTGCCCAAGCACATCCACAACCTCGCTCGACTTGGTACGCTGGTTCCCAGCCATTCAGGTCGCTCCATCAGCAACCAACCTTTGACACATTAGATGTTCGTTACTCGTAGCCTAGAGGCGGGACGAAGGCAGACCACGTGCGAGAAGGTCACAAGCTTCGCGGGCCTGCGAAGAGGCTTCGGACATTGAGAAGATGGTGGGCAGGGCTCAAAAGAGGCGACGTCCGCGGGAATCAAAGGGAGTCAGCAGCCGTTGTTGTTTAATCTCTTGCAGGCCTTGGGCTGGTTTCAGGCCACTTGAATGCATGTCAGAAGGTGCATTGATACTGACAGAGACTAGTGAGTGCTCTTGGTGCTCGGATCTATCAGGTCCCATATCGGAGCAGGCTTCCAAGTTTGGCTTGCTGGACTTTGTGGTTTGGCCTTGCAGCGCTCCTCAATGTGTTAAGGTTACGGGATAAAAGAGTCCGTCTTATCGTTCCAGCATGTGCAAGTGCAGCTTGTACACAGTCGTCTGTTGCAAGGGCATCTTCTTGTGTGCTCAAGAGCTGGCTTTCGGCCCTCAGGCGTTGAAATGATCAGGGGGTTGAGTTGGGCGTCGGACGAGCATGGCTGAAGCGACTGAAGCTGAGTTTTCCTGGGGCTGTCATGCGAACCGAGCTCGACAGAACTTACTTGGAGGATCTGTGCAAGACAAGCAGACAGGAGATGTTCGCGCCAAGTTTCTGCTCTTCGATCAGAAGGCCAAGCAACTTTGTCTCTGTTGCTATCAGGCGAGGGAGGACGCAGGATCGTCGCCCTGTCAAACCTATGCTCTCCAGAGGCTGGGAGAGTCTGAGCGCTTGGAGAACCCGCGGCAGCTCCTGTTATGTCCCGGACATTCCATGTTTGCATCACTGGAAGTCATCGCCGGCCGTGCCAGAGCTTGTGTTTGGAACCTGGAGAAGCAGAGAATACCCGAGTCTTATTCGCTGGGTGTGACCATCTCGAGTGCTGAGTCTGCAAGAGCGATCAGTTGGGTCCATGGCATCACAGGCTTGAACAACTCAGCTTTGTGTCTCCTGCTTTCCACGCAAGTGCTCTTGGTTTCTGTTCAGGGCAGCGAAGAAGAAGGAGGACTCGTTGCAGAGGAGTGTTTGCGACTGGAAGTCGGATTTCCGTCTTCCTGCTTCTGTTGGTCAAAGGATGGTTGCCAGTTGCTGGTCGGTGGAAGTGGTCAGATTCTTTGCTTCGCGTGGGGAAACGACAGAGACAGAGAGAGCAGTGAGAGCAACAGCAGAAGCTTGAAGCAGCCGCTCTCCAAAGACTTCCTCTGTGGCGGTGACTGCGTCGAGATCCATGCATGGCATTCTGCGGCTTTTCTCTGTCGAGTCGATCACAAGGAGAAGGCGCCGGAAAGCCAGGCTCAGACGGTTCCAGCCTTGATGCTGCCGGGTGGCCAAACCTGTCACGCGCCAGCTCGCCCTGTCCTGGAGCCTCTCGTCCAAGAAGTGCACGAGCAGAGAGAGACCTTGGAGACCACGGCTGGAGGTGAACTTGGAGGCGGACTCTTAGCTGGCGTGCTGACCGGAAGCAGCTACAGTGGATGCCCCAGCCTCGCAGGCCTAGGAGGTTTGCAGGTGGTGCCCTGTCGTCGTCAATTGCTGCCGCTGTGCTTCGAACGGAGAACCGAGCCTCGCTTAAAGATGCTACTGCTACCAGTTTTTTAGAGTAGGTTTCTCCCTTCTGCCATGCCCTGCCAGACGCACGATACGTGGATTCCGCAGATGCTTCAATCTCGTCACATCACACACACACACACACACCAAGGACGGCTTGAAATTGCATTGTGGGAACGAGCAAAGCATAGAGGGTGAGCTCGTTGCTGTGGTTGATGGCGACAAGCTTGGCACGGCGTGTGTCGTCGTTGGATCCTTCTGCAATACTGAGATCTCTGTTTTTGGTCTGTTACCACCTCACCGCTGGCTGCCCACTTCCAGCAAGACGACTGGGACGACATGCGGGAGTGAAGGCGAGTGGCGCAAGCTGTTCAGCGTGGACTTGTCGCCAACAGCCCCCATGCGCCTTTCAGGACAGTCGTGACTTCGGCCTTCAGCAATCGATCTGTGCACTTCGTCAATTTCAGATCGCCTCCTGTTCTTTTGTCAGGTTTGGCGGTCTGGGGCGGTCTGGGAGAGCTGGAGGCGCACTGCCTCATCTCCGAGAGAAGCGAGCCGGGTCCTGGAGCCAGCATGGCACGGGAGCTTTGGCACAAGCAACTCGACACCCTAAACCCTCCTGTCAAGGGAGTAGATGGCATGGCGTAAAGGATTGTCTGTCAAATTGCATGTCGCAACCGAGGTCTCAGAGACTGGCTGCCCCTTGGCCCGGTAAACAGGATGATTGAGGTTGGCTCCACCACACGTTGACTATTTCGACATACTGTGCATGCATCCAAACCGATGTCCAGCCGAGAATGGGTAACCAAGAACTGCTGGTTTATGCACAGCAAACAAGGTGCGCTTCCCTTTTTCGGAAGTTGTCGTTTACCATTCAATTCACCCATGTAGTAGTGAACCCAGGTCAAAGCCGTGTCTAGGGCCTTGTCTGCTTCACCAACCAAGGGTCTATGAAGTCTCTGGCCAAACGAAGCACCTGAGACTCCGCAACGGAAGTCTCGCAATCGACCAAACAGCCGCAACGGAACACAACTGGCAGGATGTGGGCCTGGGCTATATACCCCAGCGCAGGTAGCCGGATAAACGATTGATGAAACCTGCAACTACCTGGTACTCGCTTGAGAACTCATCCGCAGCCGCAGCCTCCGACCGATGTTCACTGTATCAGGATTCAGCCAAGCTCTATTTTCAGCATCTATAACAGGCCCGGAACCTGTCATGTGGCGTTTAGCTTATAAAGAGCTTAATTATATTCGCAATTTCAGCACAAGCGGCCATTCGAAGCAAAAGCGGTTAAGGATGCAACATTCGGACAGGAAGGCAGGTCCGTGAGCCGAGTGTTGGTTCTTGTTGCGAAATCTTGATGTTATGCGTTGGTAGTGGCGTTCCCGGCTTGATGAGCCCCGACCGCAGCATCAGAAGAACTCTCACTGAACCATGCTCCGCGAAGACTCTGGACAAAGGTTGATCAAATACGAATTCCCTCTCTGCCAACCCTTCCTTGCATACGGTAGCATCAGGGAGCGCTTTACCCTGCTCATTATGTTGGTGGGCACATCGCGCTTTATCTGCATGCGTATGCACAAATTTACGTTTGTACATATACGGCGCAGGAAACCCCCAAAAACCAAGAAATCAACAACAGCACAGCAAGACATGGGCACGTGCAAATGCACACTTCGGCTTCCCATGTTTTGGTTTTTCTCCACCTCATCACTCATTGGCACTGGTGTAACCCGAGGAGCATTTCATCACCAGCCGGGACGAGGAGGATCCCCGCTGCCAAGATCGGAGTTGAACAGCGGTGCAACAGTTGTTTAACGGGCACCGCAAGGACTGCCAGACGGAAGTCAAGGTTTCTGGCCCGGAGCAAATCCAGGCCCAGCCAAAAAAAACATGCTGTACATACATATATGTACGTATGTATATATATATATATATATATATCGGACATGAAGCGAAGCTGAGTCGGGCCAGGTCTTCCAGAGGCTAGCAGATGATGTCTCCGGCATCCGGCAAGAGATGCAGGGCTTGCGAGAGCCTCGCCGGCCCAGCATCGGTTTGGTTGCTTCGCAGCCCAGATTGCTGTATGGTTGATTTATTCTGGATTAACGGGGCATGCGTTTGTCCGAGTTGAGGAGTGCCTGGTCGAGTTCACGCACGACTTCAAGCGCATGGTTGCAGCCGTGGAAACCTTGGCGAGAAGGTGACTGGAACGAGCAACTGCAGGTGTATCCAGTGCATCCGAGCGAGCATGGGCCTACAGCAAGACTGCTACAGCAGATCGGCGCCAGCTGCTCGAGTCTCCTGAGCGTCGCAGCCGATGGAGCTATCGGGGATCTCAAAGCGACTTCTGGAGAGCAGGAGCTAGTGACAGCGCATCGTGGCCCTACCACCGACAAGGGGCACAGGGAAAAGGCAGGGGCAAAGGAAGGGCCACCGATCCCAGTGCCCCGTCCATCCACGTGTGGCATGGTCTTTCCGCAGCCGCTTGACAAAGTCGACCCTAGACAAATGGGTTCTGTCATACACATGAAGAGACTTGATGAGCATCATGATAGCATACTACGAGCACTCGGCACTAGCAGCTGGATTTGATTGTGCGGCAACATGTTTGGTAGCACGAGTGGGGGCGTTGGTGCGAAGCGACAGCAGGAACGGCCCGAATCGCCACTTTCGAAGTATTGTCAGTGAACCAGCAGTACAATTACCACGGTGGGGATCCGTGGGGCAGGTCCTGTAGCACGTGAGTAGAACAGCAAGTCACATCAAGCAACAACTCAGCTGTGCATCTCATGGCCCAGCGGTGCCAGAACTCGACAAAGCAACCTCGAGTTTGTCACCGATGCAGAGCAAGATCTGCCAAAGGACTTCGGGTTTGGCAACAGCTCTTTTTGCAGCCTGCAGCTTGCGGATGTGCGTAGCATGAACTGTAGTGCCTGGTAGCATCACGTTGGCATTGCATGATGGTGTAGGCCTTGTTGGGTTTCAGACTCTGATCGCTCCTGGCACTGACACTCCTGAGTCTTGGGAGGCGGCATGACCAGCAGTGCCAACGCCAAACCTACCATTCCTGTTTCGAAGGCGAAGCCGACACCTGCTTCGCCCATTCTCACTGGGTCTGGGCGCAAGAAGCCCTGGAGCAGTCCACAGCAGCGTACTCCTCGGCAATCCTTGCAGCTCCAGGAGATGGCATCAACTTGCGAAGACGCAGTGCGACGTATCGACCAACTCAGCGCAGCTACTCAGCAGTTGCTGAAAGAGTTGGGCCTTAGCAGCGTCGGAGGCGTTGGCCGGAGTCCAAGCAGGACACGCCCGAATCCCTTTAGCGATATGTGCCCAGTACCAACTCGGGCTTTCGTTGCCGGAGCAGCCCAAGGGGGACAAGAGCCCACTGCACCTGTTCCATGTTTGCCTACGTTCTCGCAGCCAGCCGCAGCACGGAATGTGGTGCAGCCTTCGCAGGTATCGATTCGTGAGCCTGCGACAGCACACTGTCCGCACATGTTCAGCCCGCCAAGCGTAGCCTTCCAGAGACTGGAGCAAAGTCTTGCTTCGTACGTGCCGTCTCCTCTGAGCGCTGGCCGTGTGATCCTTGCTTGCGGTCGCTGCCTTGACCTGAGGGAGTTGTGGCCTGCTTTCGCAAGTAACATGGATGCCAACACGGCTCAGAGGGAGCGCATCGCAGAGGGACTCGCCAGCCGACAAATCAGCCAAGAGCTCCTCAATGTGTACAGACGTTTTGATCCGACGGCATCAGAGCTGACCTGGTCTCACGGCCGACTGCGGGACTTCGTGAAGGCATGCTTCGCAGAGTTGGCAGTCGTGTCTCCCACAGACTCCCAGATCTACATGGTCTACACACACTTCGACCCAGAGCTGATGATGAAATTAACAGCACTGGAAAGCATATCTCTCGTTGAAGTCTTGCTGCGTGCATCCCTGGGCCCGGAGCCCATGCCCGCCGATGAACCAGAGCATGGCTTCGACCATCCGACGTTCTTGGCAGAGCAGTGGGTTTCACAATATGTGCCTTTACCGGTAGATGGGACCATCAGCATTGCCTATTCGACGGGAGTGGTGATCCATTTCCCTGACTTCTCGGAGATGCTTCAGAGCTTGGCGAGTCTGAACAAGCCGCAGCGTGGCAACATACTCTACCGAATAGCTAGCTGCGACCTGCTGAGGCATGCATTGCAGGTGTTCAAACACTGTGAGGATGGAACTGGATACCTTGCGTGGTCTGACCGCCAAATAGAAGGCTTTGTCACAGAGGTCTTTGTCCAGGAGGGCTTAGTGCCTCCAACTGCACAACAAGTTGCTGCTTTTTACGACAAGTTTGCAGAGCTGCAACCTCGACTCAACGCGAGTGAGTGCTTATGCTTGGTGGATGCCCTGTTTCGTGCTCTGCTGCATGCTGGGACAGATCGCCAAAGACCTACCGATCCAGCTGGGCACCCTCACGTGGAGGGCTTCGTCGCGGAGGACAGAGATGTGTATGTCCGAAAAAGATCTGTGAGAATGGGCATGGCATGCCTTGTGCATTCGTCGTGATAGCCTTGGCTTCCGCAGAGTCCATTGTTGCTTGAGGAGCCTACTTCTGGCGACCTGGCTAGCATTTGGAACTGCCCATGGGTACATAGACACTGCATTCATTGCATCTAGCCTTTCAAGCTTCAAGCGACACCTCACGGGCTGCTCCTCAGGCTCTCCAGATCCAGGCCAGCTCTTCGGATGTCCTGTAGTAAAGCTCAGGCTGTTGCATTTTCTGCAGGGACGGAGCGCGAAAGCCTTGCGACGGTCTGACCCCCGGCTGCGGACACCAGCTCAGACTGAAGCGTGACATGCGCTTACAGGCAGCCTTGTTCACCGGGGATGTCCGCGAACAGGCTCGGTTCTCGCTGTCACGATGCCCACTTGGAGCTTGAACCATGACCAGGAGCCCCGCACAGCACAAGGGGAGCCTAAGCCCATCGCTGCTGCCAGAGCATGGGTGGCCAGTGTGGCACATGGCTTGCCGTTCTTGGAGCCTCTCAGTGGCAGCCACCTTAGCTCTGCAGAGAGGTTTGCTGAGCTGGCTTTGCAAGTGTATTTGGAGCAGCCTTCAGCAATGCAGGGGAAGCTTTTCTACACAGGGGAACGGCAAAATGAGATGGAGTCCTTTTTGAGCGCCCTCTTTCACAGAGCCAGCCTCTCTCTCTCGAACGGCCCTGGTCTGCATGGGCATGGCCTGCATCCACCGCCCTCCAGTCTGGTCTCAACGGTCGCCGAGCAAATCGATTTGCAGGGATCTGGTTTTCTCGATGTCACACAGTGCCTCCTGCTCTCCGACGGACTCATGCGCCTCGCGGAAAAGCCGGGAGAAGACAAGCTCGGCCCCGGAAAGCACCGAAAGGGAGGAGCGACGGGGCCCTTGTGCGCGGTCAGCGTGGCCGGCGCAGCGTCACCTGTCCTGGATGAGCGGACCCCACAAGGCGCATCGGGGTCCACACCCAGGTTTTTTTCAAGTATCTTGCCATGATCCTACGAGGAATTCGCCAGCATGCGCCTCCGGTTGACCAGGAGACCTTGCAACAGGCGCTTATGCATTTGTACATTGTACATGACATAAGTCATAGGTGGTAAAGGCTTCTGGTCCATCAATGCAGGTGGCTTCCAAGGCATTTATGACCTGTGATGAAAGCGGGCACGGCTATCTGACCTGGTCCGAGGCCACTTCCTATCATTTCGGATGGATGTTCTCCAGGATTTGAGTCTTGAGGTGAGGAGCTTCATTAGCATGATCTTCCGCGGCCTAGGTTGCCGGGCTGCATTCACAGGGTGAGCATTAAGCGAGCAGATTCTTTCTCAGGACTGGTAAACCATCTCACCGAGAGCGACATATACAAGCTGTATGCTCGGTTTGATGAGGAGTTTGCTGAGTTCTGGTTCGGCCACTCTTAGCTGACTTGCTATTATAGTTGGATGTGTCAGGAACACACTGCGAGACTGGGAATGGACCAATGCCTGCGCCTTGCTCGAGCTGCTGTGCCACAAAGTTTGCCATGACACTCGCCAGGGTGCCGGAAAAACACCACGAATCGTTGATTGCACTTCTGGGCTCTGAGGTATAGCAAAGTGCTCAGAATTTCTCTGTAGGTGCGGTGCTTGTGCCTGCATGCATTGGCTCGAATCTCCAGATTTAAATCCGGACACTGGTCCTCGACCGTCTACACCAAGCACTTCTGCTTCAATAAGCCTTTCTGTGCTTTCGCGGTGCAGCAAGAACCGCCTTTTCAAAAGGCTTGCTTAAGGGGTAGGGTACTGGGTAGGACGGTTACGCAGTAACCAACACCTCGCGGCAAGGCCCGAGCTCCTGATAACTATTGTTGTTGTTCTTAAATTATGATTATATCATGATTATATTCTCATTATATTAGCATATTATTAACTTATATTATTATGATTCTATTAATATTATACTATTGTTATTGTTATATTACTGCACATCTTTGTCATTGCTGAGGTGTTAGCGGCCCGCCTCGGCATGTACGTCCCATCCACGGGTCCGATCATGCCGGGGCCCGACTGACAGAGAGCTACTGGGAGTCTCCGAAAGCAAGGGTACCTTATTTTGGGTGCGTTTTAATAGGGATCCTACTATTTAGGGTACTATCTTAGGGTCCCCTCTTTTCGGAAACCTCCACTCGTAAGCGAAGAGGCTTTTGCCTTTTGAGGTCCAGCCCCTATATGACGCAAGAGCCGGGGGCAATTCCGAGCTTTGCACAACCCGTGATGCCACCTGGCTTTGACCTGATGCTGCGGGCGTTTGCAGAGCAGCTTGTGAGTCCTCAGGTCGCAGCCTTATTTTCTACAAGAGCCGACCAGCAAAACAGCTGTGCCAGCAGCATTTCAAGATCCGGGTGTTCCGGTGCCCCTGCCAGCACTTGCAGCTGCACCACAAGGACGCATCAGTGACGCATTCTTGTTGACATGCTTACATCGTGATCACCATGTCTGTCAAGAAGACTATCTTCCGTCAGGAGCACCAGCTGTGAATGGTGCCGGACTCATCCGTTTTAGCTGGATTGGGTTTCGCGAGTTCTAGGCATGTTAACTGTTCACTGACGCTTGCAACATGTCGCTGTCTCTGAATCCTTCATGATTGGGCAGTGGTTGCACGTACGCTCTCCTCCCAGGCATTCGGACGGCCAGGCCGAGCAACTTTGCAACACCGGCAGTTATCGACGACGGAACTGCAGCCGTCTTCTTGCAGCAGACCCTCGTCTGCTAAGTGTCTGGTACATGCTCGGTCGTTTTCCTCCGCATGCCCTGTGCCAAGACGCGGTCGGTCTTGTTGCGACTAGGTATTTCAGCCTCGTCAAATCGCACTGCGAGACCCGCTTGGTCAACAAGAAATCGGCCATGAGAGAATTGAACGGCTCCTCGGAAGTCGATTATCATGGCAATCACCCAGAACCAAGCACATCACTAGCACAGAGGTCATGAAGATTGAAGATTGCACTGGCCACTGGCCTCATGAATTGGACTTGAGGCAAGCTGTTTCCGCTCATCGTCGAGGCTTTCCACCGTCACGACAGGGATGGTGACGGAGTACTAAACAAGCAGGAACCATGGCCAGATAGATAGATAGAGCTGAAAATCTCTTTGAACCCACATGTGCTCGTGCCTGATCCGTGCCAAGGAGGCGCACATTTTGTTCACCCTCTTCGTATCCGACAGGCTGTTGGCTTCGTTTGATGGCAGTTCCCGTGCGTTGTGAAGCCCTGTTCCCAGACTCGGCTTCAGTGATGCGGCGCGCGCGATGATCTATCAGCAGACCGGGGACTCTGAGAAGGCCCCAGCGAGCTGCTCATAGCGTGCACGGAGAAAGCATGTGAAGTTCATGTTGGCCCCGAAAGGCAGCTGACCGGGTGGCGCAGTACAGCAAGTTCAAGGCCAGGAATGACGGAGAGGTTTCATGCGCTGCGACGGTTTTGACTGCTTGATTGAGTGCCCGTCTCGCCGGTCTGTTCTGATGGCCCTGACCCTGGAGGAAATGTACGACAAACGAGCGTTCCAGGCTTTTGTTTCAGACGAGGATGGCTACATGCAGCTCCACGAAGTACCTTGGTTTCCTTGGCCTTTAGCAACTCGAAACCTGAAATCTTTCTTGAGCTGCGTGCTGTCTTTGGAGGTCCTTTCCACGCTGTCCTTGCACACTGACAAGCACATGGCTTTGTTCAAGGCCGTTTGGGGTGAAGGGTTCAACCTCGGTCAGAGTGAAGACAAGCGAAATGCCGAGGCATTCGGACTTCAGGAGGCAGATGAAGAAACGGAAGAATCCTATTATGTGGATCACTACGCGTGATGCCAGAAGGACATGGCCACTGGCTGCTGGGTTTTCGCTGATGGATCGAACTGGCAGTCGCGAGTGATTTCAGAGCAGGACATGCAACGAGCCGATATATGTTTTTCCAGTTTGCAGGCCACTTGGATTGAGTGTGCCTGTGTTCCACTGCTAGACTCTAACCTCGAGGCAGAGTCACGCTCTGAACCCAGTGGCCCCAAGGCGTCGCGAACGCATCCGGTTGGATTCATGCTTCCGCCCGACGGCGGTCCAGCCGCTGACTGGTGCTGCTCTGTCAACGCCGACTGCTCGTGAAGCGCGGGGAAGGTGAGCCAGAGTTGTGGGCGCTGTCACATCTTAGAATTCTTCGCAGCACCTGCAACTGCTGTCTCCGTGCTTCACGAAGCGCCAAGCGAAGCTTGGCACCTGAACGGCAGCTTTGTGCCCACCGTCTGTGGTGCCGAACTCTTCGGATAGGCACACAAAGGCAACATACAAGTCACTCACGCAAATAAGGATTTTAAGGATTTTGAAACAGACTCGGTGGCAATGCTCTCACATTGATTGTGCCTACGTTTACACGACGCTTGTCAGGCAAAAAGATCGGAAAGACACGAGCACCATGTGGTCACTGCACACGTCAAGCCACTGATACGTTTTCAGTGCGTATTCAGCCGGCGCACCGCAAGCACTGGGCCAAACTACTCCGAGCTCCGGGCCATGGCGGTCTCCACATATCAAAGCTCATACTGTGGCCAAGGGCTTGCAATGCAACACCTGACTGAGGAGTCGTATCTTCTCCAGCCGCTCAGGCATAGACCAATGGACCGACATTTTCTATCAACCAGAGCCAGCGACGGCGTCAGCAAGCAAGGCCAAGCAGCCGAGACATGGGAAGTGGTGGCCGTCATCATTCCATGACTCATCTGGAGTTAAGCAGCCTGTGCGCAGGATGCCGGGACTGCAGCGGCTTCTCTGTAGCGACCCCAAGAGTTCAGACGAGGGCAGCGACGTAAACTCTCTCATGGTGGCAGGTCGGATCTGCCCGCTGGCTTGAGAAGACGCGCCGAGTTCTACCGGAGAGAGTTGCTGCCACCTCAGCTGCTTGCCGGTGCACTCCAGTGTCGAGTTTGCTGCCAGCACGTTGCTGGCCCAGGATTCTTCCTGACAAGTCTGACGCCCAGATACCGAAGACAGCAGATCTTCGCTTGCAGATGCTCTTAGTGCAGGAGCGCCCGGAGGCGTTCATTCAGCTCACCTGCGCAAGACTCAGCCCCATTGCAAGCTGCCCCTCACGCTCTCGGATATGACCGTTCTAGTGTGCTGCCAGCTGTTAGGTGATGAGCAGGCCAAAACGACTAACACGACCCATGTGCAATTCGACTCGTGCTCAGCATTCATCGAGAAGAGGACCAGTTGGCATGTTCGCAGATAGGCCTTGCAAATGTGACAGCAGCTGCCTATTCCAGTGTATGTGTATGCATGTGAAGTGTTGCAATACATGAGGTACAACCCTTTCACTTCACGGGAGTTGCCGCGGGGCAAGTTCTGCGGATTCCCGACGCCGATTACAAGGTGCCGATAAGATTGTACTTGCAGAGCTTTCTATGTTCATTGATATGCATTGCTACGAACTGCCAGCCTGTGATCTCAGACACCCAAGACAGCGCGCAGACGAGCAAAGATGTGAAATTGAAGTCGAATAATTCGCAAGCTTGAGTCGTTGTCGAGTCGTGCTCGCTCCACTGACCCGCTGTGTCCCTCACAGCAGTGATTCGTGAGAACCAGCAGGCACAAGCAATGTGCCAGCATTTCCCTGGCCTTCCTCCTTTGCCCCTCAACCCAATTATGTAGTTATTGACATAGCACCATGGCGGTCCCTGTTCTCGCGGTTTTGCAAGAAATTAAGTCAGCCCAGCACACATGCAGAAACTGTAACAGTGACGTCTATGGTTCAGGCGGAAAGGCTCATGTTTTGAGCTGTTGTGCGAACCATTTGCTTATCCTTGATGAGGATATTTGCGGCCAAGGTTATTCCCAGGTGGTTTGTGTAAACTGTCGTGATGCAGCATGAGAGCCAACAAACCATGGATCAGTTCACGCACCCTGGACCTCTTGAACCAAATGCGTGAAGCTCGGCTTAATGGAAACTGGAGCGTTGAGAAGCAATTGCAGAAGGAGGTCAAGAAATCAGCCAAAAAGGACCGCTCCAAAATGGCTTGAGGATGTGGCATCTTCTGAGGATGATTGGAAATCGTTTGAAAAGCGCCGAAGGGTTCGGATCACCAAGCAGGGGCGATTGAAGAACACGGATGGGGAGTTTGTCTCATCTGAGCTGTGGGCAGAGACGCTGGCCGAGCACCCGTCAAACGTTCAATGGAGAATTCGACCAGCGATATGGCTTCCTGAACAGCGGCCGAATTTGGGTGAAGTTTTCCACGTCAACGTCAGCAGGTAGGATTTCAACCGCACCGAGCGGTAAGGCAACAAAACCAGATTATATTCTCGTGGAGGTTTTCAAGGTTTTGGCCATGAAGCCCAACTCATCCTTACAATGGCTGTTGGATCTTTGCAACCATTGCAAGCGAGCTGCCGTCGTTCCCGATGATGGTCCACAGCTTCAGTTGCAATGTTATTCAAGAAAGGGGACCCAGCCGATCCGAACAACTACCGACCAGTTTGTTTACAGAGTATTGTGTACAAACTGTTTGCCTCCCTCCTCAAATAACGGCTTCCTGACGCAGGTGTACAGACCAGACTTTGGAAATCACACTTTGGATTTAGAGAAGGTCAGCGTGCTGAAGATGCCATGTTCGTTGCCTTTCCGAAAAATCGAAGAAGCTTGTGCCCAGCGAAATGGTCAGATCCGCCTGTTGGCACTCGATTGGAAGAAAGCTTTTGACAGCATCCGTTTCGGTATTCCTGATTGTTGTCGGCAAATGCTTCACAACATGATGCGTCATCGTAGGGTTTTGTCGAAGATCAAGGCAGCAAATCCAACTTAAAATCGCAGATTCTTGCATTTCACAAGGATGCACTTTGAGCCCGCTTCTGTTCCGTTTATCATCGCCATGACGGTCTTGATGCACGATGCTGTTGCAAATCTAAGTGGTGCTGCACTGTTATGCTGATGATACACTCTTGCTTCACACATCCGGCCTTCATCTGCAGGACTATCTGTTTCAGATCGCAGATGCAGGGCTGTTGTATGGTATGGAGCTTCACTGGGATAAGTTTGATTTGCTACAAGCACAATGTCAAGCAATCATTCGGACTCCGACGGGTGAGCATATTTCGCCAAAACCGGGCATCGATTATTTGGGCTCCGTTCTCAGTCATGATGGGCTACCAGGGCATGAACTTGGTCGGAGAATCGAGATGGCAAACCGACATTTTCTTGAGCTCCAAATTTTCGGAAGCATTCTTCATTATCGCGGGATCGGAAGGTTCAAATCAATAAAGCTCGTAAACTGATGTATTCCCTGAGTTGCTTGTGTTTATCTTCCGCGCATCGTCGGCATCTTGATGGCCAACAAAACCGTCGCTTGCGAAGTAGTTTCGGCATCCCACCTGCTTTCATCTCGAGAGTGCCCAATGCGGAAGTTTTGCGTAGAACTTGTTACCCCGCTGCTACAGACATGCGATTGAAAGGACAACTCCTCTTTTTCGGTAAAGTGCTGCGATCTGCATACGACCACCCCTTGCACAGCTCCGCATTTATTCGTGGAACGCAGCAGCATGCCACAAGTATGTATGTGAGAAGAGTGGGGAGGCCGCGACGAGACATGGGTCACACTTATTAGGGATGTCAATTCCTTGAAAGACATCGTGAGATAACCAGACTTCTACAGAATCCTCATGTCCGGAATCGTGCGGTGTGCCGGTTTACCTGTCCACGTGCCGCCCGGCGTATGACCGACTGACTGACTGACTGTCGTGATGCAGCAGCTGTGCTCATCTTCTTTGCTATCGCCTCGGTTGACTTTCGGCATAGCCTATCGACTGCTCTGCGTTGTGGCGAGCGGGGTGATTGTTTCTACATATGAGAGAGACTAGTGAAGAGACTGTCATTCTGCTGACGATGCTACGCGTTTCTTCTTGCTGGCTCTGCCGTTTCTGTGAGGATGTTGCCAAAGCCTCCAGACCCTTTGGGCTTCACGTCCCATGGACTCGTGCCGGTCAGGGACTTGGATGGCGACCTGGCAATCAGCTAATGTGCTTTTCTCGCACTCGCAGGAGGTCGCACATCGAGAGTTTCGCGGCCGAGCAAGCAGCTTCCCGTCTGGAGGGTACCCGGTCAGTGACACAGGTTTTCGTCCGACAAGTTCCGCTGTGCTTCTGCCATCTTCTGACTCGAGGTCATGGGTGCACCCGTAATCCACCAAATCTCACAGACAGAGGAGATCGGTCCCAGCGATTGAGATGCCTCCGCGAGATTTTCACAGTCGCGCCAGGACGCACCAGCACCTTGGCGCCGTAGCCTCAAAGTGGCCGGAATTCTTCGCTTGCCTTTCACATCAAATGGCCTTGCACACTGTGAACTCGGAGCAGTTCGCAGTTCTGTCCGCAGAGTGCTCAACCAGACTCCTGCCCAGCACTTGTCCAAGCTGTCACCCCTCGTACTTTTGGTGCCATTGGTCTGTTCATGGTTGTTTCTGTTGAAGCTCCGAAGCTCCGTTCCAGCAAGGCGAGTACGCAGAGCTTGAGCGAAACCCGCGTGGCCGTGCCAGCCGAAGGTTTCGTGGATGATCCAAGCTGAATGTGGCAGTCCACAGATCCATGCGAGCAAAGAGAACCGCTGTGCCCGTGGTATGCAAGTGCTGTTCATGTTCTTATTCCTGTCAGGGGCGTCCTGTGAGATCGCAGCAGGCGGCAACGATGATGCACCGGTGCATGCTGCTAATGACCGCAAAAAAGCACAATCTAGCCCTTGCTCGTTGTACTGACTTTGACTTGTATTGTTTTGAGGATAGAAGGTCATGGTTTCTGCGTGAGTAAACTCAGGGTGCAAAGATGCAGGGAACTTGGCCCACCAATACCGCCAAGTGCAGATAATTAGAGAGCAAGAGCATCGTCGAGCGCGATCCAGAGATCCCAGCACCGCTCAGACTAGGGCCTGTCCTTTTACCCGTACGCTGCGCCTGCTTTCTGAACGACACATCTGCAGAGTCACAGTAAGAGCTGTAAGCGTAGCATCGACGAACGATGCCCACAGCTGAAAGCCCTGCAGCATCCTTTAGGTCGTTGGTGCGGCTGGGGTTAGTTGTGATACTAGTAGGCATCTCTGCAGTGGCTGAAACATGAAAACCGGTAGGTAAAGTGTAAAGATCCGAACAAACCCTGATGCAAAAATGCCTGGTCTATCGCCAGCTTTGCGCCCTGGCATGACTCTGTAACCTAACGGATGGGCACTTGGATCAAGGAGAGAAGTAGAACGCAGCCTAGAGTCCGCCGCCGAACTGCCCTATGCCGGGACCTCGAAATTTAGCCACCTCGATGCTAGAGCCGGGTGTGTGGGATTCAAGGATCCTCGGCCGTGGCCCGGCCATTGCGTGAAAGGCTCCCGACCCGCTCAGCGCTCACTCCGGTCTCGGTGCCTCCTGGCAGGGCGGGCGCTCGCCATGGGCTTCTTCAAGCTAGGACGGCCGGGCGCTTGGAAGTGCACAAACGGAGTCAACAGCGAGCTGAAGCCAACCAAGGCTGGAGAAGGGAAAGTCTCAGGATGGCATCGGCGGTCGCCAGGACAGCGACCAGCAGAGCTTAGATTCCTCTCTTGCACGTTGCAATTTGGAGCGGCTTCCGCTCGCCTGGACTCTCCGGCCATATCAGGGAGATCGAAAAGAAGGCGAACCTCTCTTGGAGTCCTCGCAGGCTTCCATGGTCACTCACTTGCGTGGCCGTGAAAGATGTCGCAACTGCGTTGTTGATAGGCAGAAGGCTCCGAGCGCAAGAAGAGGGAGCCAGAAGGCAGCCGAGCAACAAAGCAAGTTGTAGATAATTGTGTATAACAACGTGCCTGTGTCTGTATATGGATACATGCTCCCACGAAAAACACACACACACACACACAAGGACAGACACAGACACACGCACGCGTTCATTCATTCTTTCTTTCTTTCTTTCATTCTTGCATTCATTATTTCTTTCATTCATGTTGTCTTGATCAGATGCACACCTAGCAAATAAATTCCTGAAGTCACAAGCAAATCGCTTTGTGCCACCAGGAAGAGGCGGCGGCTCCCCCGGTCAAATAACAGGTGCAAAAGTAGGGCAACATGACAATCATGACAACTGCACAAGTCAAGGTTCCCTACGGCACCAAACCAGCCCGTAACAGTGAAAATGTCCCACATGCCTGATTCAATCGGCTTGAGCGGGCCGGGGAAGGCAGACTTAGCACGTGGCATTCCCTTCGGCAAGCCACTTTGACCAAATGGAGACGGAAAAGCGACACACCTACAGTACAGCAACGCTGGCCCATGAACGACCACGAAGCCAGCAAGGT